AAATACTATAATTTTATTTGAAAGTTAATATAAGAAAGAATTTGCGTGACTTTGTAACTACTACCTCCAACCAAGGAGGCCCATTCTTGTAGTTAATTTTGCAGATCTATTAAGATACATCTCCTATTACTTAAAAAAATAAATTTTCTTTCTGGGAAAAAACCCTTGAAGAACAAGATTTATCTCTATGAAAGAGGTTACATATAGTACAGTTGAAATTATGTTTTAATTAATTACTTCATAAAATAAAAGACAATCTATATGTCTGTTTAGGGGAAAAATGCTTTCAAAACAAGCCTTTGTCAGTTGCAAACACATGGCTTGGTGGAGGTAACAAGGCTTATTCATGGTAGCAATCACTTAGCTATCAAATAGCTGTTTAACCAACTAATTACTGAAGCAACAGAAAAAATTATAGTCCCTTGACAAATTTACTGTAACTCATGTAAGAGAAAAATATTCTGAAACTAGTTTCAGAGATACTATTTAATGGTATGTATTTTATTTAAATAATTATGTAGAATTAATTGTTTTATTGGCTGCACAGATTATTCAGGTATTAAATAATGTCTGCAAAAACAATATCGAGGTATGTATTTGAGACGTATTTGGTCTTACATTGAATTTAGATAACCTCTGATTTACCAGGATGAAGGAGCTGGGGGCATGTTGGGGCAGTGGTGTGGGGCAGTGTTGGTGAGTTAAGCACATCCCTACCTGAGGGAACACAACTTGAAGGATCTTTGAGGTCTTAATTGGGATAGAAACATATCTCTTCCTTACTTTAGCCTGAAATTTTAACATTATGCTTAGTATGTAAATTATTCTCAACAATATTTTTGGAATGATGGAAACTTATCTTTGAACATAAAAGATAATTTCTCAAGATAACATAACTATGTTTTGAAAAGAATTTTACCAAAAGGCCATACTGGGTTTTTCAGTCTTATTTTCATATACATAGAATTCTAAATGCTGTCTTTTTCTTCATTACAAATATAATCAGAAACATTTCCCTATGTCTTCCTTCTTGTTCAGTTTAAAAATAAATTTTATTCAGCCAAAAAAAATTAGGCAAAATATTTCAAAAACACAATATATGATGAAATTTTTATTCAGTCATATCAAAATAAAATACTTCATAAGTTGTATGGCTCCCTAGCATACAGAGTTATTATTGACACTTCCATTGTTAGAACTTTATTTTATTATTGCCTGATAGTAATAATAGTAATAAGGAGATAATATGTTTGCATATCCATAGCTTCTATTTCCGTACTTTCTCTAGTTCTCATCTCCTGTAATGAGTTACCTAACATCTTTCAATCTTTCTATAATAAGAATTTATATAAAAGCAGAATTCAAACTTCAAGATAAATGTGGAGGTCAATAATGCCAAAATATATGTAGATGATGATAAGAATGACAAGAGGCCATATTATGAAAATAACAACGAATTAAATTCATACTTCAAAAATTATTTAGGGGAAAATGTGTGGCTTTCAGTTTATGGGACCAATAATAGTAAACTAGTTCTCAAAACTATCATGGTCAGCAGAAATGATAATGTTGCCTCCTCTCTACTTGGTGAAGGACTGGGAATGGTTTAGAAAACACTTCAAATGGATGTTTCCTTAAGTTGTTTAACTCATACTGAAGGTCCAAGTCATTACATAATAGAGTAGGCTACATTATAATTATATGTCTTTGAGGTTGGAAATTGCAATTTGTTGAATGTATTGGTGAATAGAGTATCATAAAATATGTCACGCTTAATAGATTTCTTTTACATTAATTTCAATTGAACTTTTTATTTGGAATTTCATCTAAATAAAGAAAAGGTGTGGTGGTTCAGGTCTATAATCCCAGCGCTTTGTGGGGCCAAGGCGGTGGATCACCTGGGGTCAGGAGTTTGAGACCAGCTTGGCCAACATGGTGAAAACTGTCTCTACTGAAAATACAAAAATTAGCTGGGCCTGGTGGCACATGCCTAAAACCCTAGCTACTCAGGAGGCTGAAGCAGAAAAAATCACTTGAACCCTGGAGGTGGAGTTTGCAATGAGCCAAGATCGTGCCATTGGACTCCAGACTGGGCAACAGAGTGAGACGCTGCCTCAATAAAAGAAAGAAAGAAAAATAAAAGAAAGTAATATTTGCTATTGGATAAGAAGGTTGGGAGTTGGGAAAATTCTTTCTCGGGACTAGGGAGACTCTGGATGTGTTTCAAGAGCTTCTGTGTTTATCTTAGCACATTTCTCTCACCTGTCAGTTAAAATATTTATATTTATAAAACATTATATTTGCTATAGCCTTGGTCTTCAGCACTATGAAGAGAATTTTGTAGCATTTAATGTTGTTGATGTTTACCAGAGGATTAGGTTTTGTAATTAGAGGTGGGAGAAAATTTGATTAGAAAATCTTCCAATACACTTAACAAACAGCTTAAGGATTCTGCTTAATTAAAATTAAATGAAGAGGAGGATGAATATATCTTTTTAAATCTCACAGAATTTTAAAGTGTATTTAATGTTTGCCAGAAATGGTAGGTAGTTGGGTGTGATTAATCTTTCTCCTTTAATACCTCTTAACCACACGCTCTCAGCAAGTTGATTTGTGTAAAGAATCTAATTAAGCCTGACATACCGAGGCCTACTGTCAGAAAGGTACTGTAATTAACATAGAATTTTACTAACAACTCAATTTAGGAGGAGAACAAGAGTAGCATACAAGGTAGTCTTTGCTTGGCTGTGGAAAATGGGAGGCATGGATTTGTTTCAGAAGTTTAATGAAACCGGTGGCATGCTTCATAGCCAAGTAAGATTTGCAACATCAAAACACCAGTGTGTTTCTGTTTCGGAATTTTTTTTTCATATTTCCAATCATAAAGCATTTTTGACTGAATTATGACCAATAGGTATTGTAATTGTTTATTTGTATGTGTATGTGTAAAATCTCTATTTGTCCAGTTTTCATAGCTACTTTTTGAACATGTAACATGTCATCAGATTAATCATTTTTTAAAAATTTTACCATGTGCTTTTCTAAACTGTTCTTAGAAAAGATATCATCTTTAACATGTTTATACCAAAGATGTATTTCATATATTACGCAAGTAAAATTGCCACCAATAAAACTGCTAGTCCAAAATGTATGGAAATGATAAAAGTTTATGCTAAAAAATAATTTAAAAAAAAATCTATCATGTTACCAAAAATACATTAGTGTACATTGAATCACATTCTTGACCCTTTAAAAAGTAACTTAATAAGGTTGTTTTATTTGCATGACATCGATTTAGGCTTAGATAGGTTATTACCCTGTTTTAAACTTTCTACTTTTTTTTATGAATTATCTATTTATTTCTTTTTCCTGGTTATTCAGTCAGGTCTTTTTTTTTTTCTTTCATTCAATTGAGCCTTTATATTTAAGACAATAAAAAATTAACTTTATTGCCCTAAGAATTTTCTGTGTGTTCTTGTTAAAATCTACGTTTTTCTGCATGTAATTTTTTGAGAAGTAAACACTAATAAGTTTGAAAAATGATCATCGTATGATGGCATGATAATTCCAACAATTCCAAAACTGTTGCTCATTTTCTTATTTTTATTTTTAAGGCAATTTCCCTACCCTGTACAAGTGATTGATAATATATATCATATGAGATATATTACTGTATTTTATATAGTAATTTATTCTATTACATAAATTTTATTATAGCTATCATATTCTTTTTCTATCATACTCAATTATGCCGAATATTTTATTCATTTACCTCGATACAATCTTATTGTTCTATTTCCTTCCTGTTAGCTTTTGGTAAAGAATTTTCACTCTTGTTTTGAGTTAGATGTCTTCTTTCTAGATTTTATTAAAATAATTATGTCAAGTCTGAAATATATAATCTTAAAATTTAGGTTGAATTATTATTAATTGGTTTACTAAGTATTACCCACTGATGATATTTATTTTATGAATTCAGTGATATTCCATATTTTATATTGTATACATATTTTATAATATAAGCCTCTGGTATAATATTAGAATACAGTTTAAATATTATTGAGTAATTGTAATTAGTTATGTGGCAATATTTTACACTAGTACAAAAGGAAAGATAACTCAATATTACTAGCTTCATGTAATTATAACTTTTAAAATCAATATATATACTTGCAGCAACTATTTGTATTATTTTTAGCTTTTCAAAAATAGCCAAGCTTTTCAGTCTAAATGTAATATGAGTTCCAGAGATTATCATTGTATTGTGCTCTTAGTCAAGGCCCCATAAATGCCGAGAGCATTTAATATTGTTTCAGATAATTTCACTAAATATTTTTAGAACATGGGACCTGTAGTTAATAAGGTATTATTTGCTAAAATAGTATATATAAGCTAGGCTATTTGTCAGGAAGAAAGAAAAACAAAAAAATAACCCCTGGTGGTGAAATAACCATTTTTTACATGTTACTTGAGTCAAAGAATAATAAATATTTTGTATTTCAATGATTCATTCTCAAGTTCTTCCTGATGTTTGGTTACCTTTTACCCCAAGTTTATAAAATTGTGTCTACATTCACAGAAAGAAATAAATAGTGATTAAATCATAAGGTCTGAAATAGCACTTCTATATAAAGGTTACTACATTTATTTAATATTTATATTTATATATTCTTATGTATAACCAATGTAATCAAAGGAGAAATGAAGAATACTTAAAATTATATATTTGACTAATTCTATCATGTCACATATATATGAAAAATTGAGTCAGAGAGTGATTTTATCATTACAAAGGAGAAATATAATTTGTTGAGACAAATCATCTAAGTACTCTTATTTTCATTTTATATTTTATTCTGCAGTTCATAAGCATCCTTATTTTCATATAATCATTTGTAAAATGGGAATTTTTCTCTGGATACATTGCATGAATTGAATAGGAGAGAAATGTATTCATCTAAAGAGGAACCAGAAAATTCTACTGTATTTAATATTGCCACTTTGCTTTCTCTTAAAGGGAAGTCAACAGTATTACATGAATATTTCAGATGTCATCTGCTTTGACATTTTGGTTTAAACCATGAAAACAGGAAAAAATCAAAGTGTGGGGACAGATTTTCTACTTGTTGGTCTTTTCCAGTATGGCCGGATAAACTCCCTTCTCTTTGTCATCATTGCCACCCTCTTTACAGTGGCTCTGACGGGAAATATCATGCTGATCCACCTCATCCGCCTGGACACCAGACTCCACACTCCAATGTACTTTCTGCTGAGTCAGCTCTCCATCATTGACATGATGTACATCTGTACCACGGTGCCCAAGATGGCAGTCAACTTCCTCTCAAAGAGTAAGACCATTACATTTTTGGGCTGTGAGATTCAAACATATGTATTCTTGGTCCTTGGTGGAACCGAAGCCCTTCTCCTTGGTTTTATGTCTTACGATCGCTATGTAGCTATCTGTCATCCTTTATGTTATCCTATACTTATGAGCAAGAAGATCTGCTGCCTCATGGTCGCATGCGCGTGGGCCAGTAGTTCTGTCAGCGCTTTCATGCATACGTTGTATGTGTTTCAACTTCCATTCTGTAGGTCTCGGCTCATTGACCACTTTTTCTGTGAAGTTCCAGCTCTGCTGTCATTGGTGTGTCAGGACACCTCCCAGTATGAGTATACAATTCTCCTGAGTGGATTTACTATTCTGCTGGCTACCATTCTTGGCCATTCTAGCTTCCTACGCTCGTGTGCTTATTGTGGTATTCCACATGAGCTCAGGAAAAGGACAGGCAAAAGCTGTTTCCACTTGTTCCTCCCACCTGAGTGTGGCAAGCCTGTTCTATGCAACTGCTCTCTTTACCTACACGAGGCCACACTCCTTGCATTCCCCATCACAGGGCAAGGCAGTGGCAGTATTTTACACCATTATCACACCTCTACTGAACCCATTCATTTATAGCCTGGGAAATAAGGAAGTGATGGGGGCAATGAGGAGACTGTTGGGATAATGGATATGCTATGCAAAATATGACTGTAGAACCCTATATCAATTGAGGATTAACAACATAAAAAGCTGTTCCCGAAAACTATCTGGAAGATATAAATACATGTTTTCTGTATAGAAGTCACAAAAACAACGTTTATCAAACTTCTTTAACTTCTAAAGAAAAAGAATTCAACCTTCTCAACTGAGTGTTCCCCTGGCAGGCTAATATTTTGACTTGCCCTCTTGAATACTCTGAAATGTGAACCATACAAGTAAAATCTACCTAAACATGTAACATCAAGATAATCTATATAACAACCAAAGTTGACAGAGAGAAAAATGTGTAAGACATTCATTCATTCTTTCGTTCAGGTGTTTTAATGCTTTAATTTTGTGTGAGACACTGTTACAGGCACTGGTCATGTGAGAGTAAACAAAAAATAAATGCTGACAGAAATCTCTGCTAATCAACAACCTTAATTCCATCTGCCACCTTAGTTTCCCTTTGCCACAGAACCTGAAGTATTCACAGTTGCTGGAAGTTAGGCCTTGTGGACATCTTTGGTGGGCCATTTTTCTCCCTATGTATGTAATGTTCTATACAATGGTGTATGTTTAACAGAAGAACACCAGGGCCAACTCCTGGCAACACTAAGGCCTAACTGATAATAGGTGGTCATCCCTGAATTGCAGGGACTGCTTTTCCCAGGTGAATAAGACTTAAATGAAAAATCTTTCATTTCTTCACTTAGATCCTGTGTAACATACTGAACATGTGTCTCCTTTGGATTCGTTTTTCTTACTATGATGGTTTCATTTTATTTTATTCATCTATATTCAATAATGTTTAAAATATGATTACTTCAATAACACACTTTAATCTAGTACTAAGAATTATGCAAACCAGGATTCCAGTGATTCCAGTGATTGATGGTGTGCTATTACATTATGTAACAGAGAGTTCTCCTCAGTTATGCTTTTAAACGTTCACTAGGAGGGTAACAGCACCACATCCTAAACACTTTTCAGTAACCAAGTGCTGTGCAAAGCTCAGAAAGCATATTTTGTTAATTAACACACACATATTAAAACCTTATTCAATGGTTTGAGCAAGTATCACTGTGTTATCTTCATTATATAGATTGAGAAGAAAGTTTACAGTGGTTAAGAGCTTCTCCATGAACAACTCACTGATAAATAGACAAATCTTGACATGAACCATATTGCCTGATTCTCAGATCCTCCCCCCAAATTAATGACTCTATTACGATTTAAGTATTTGGTACAATGTAAAAAAAAATCTTTTTAGGAGCCAGCAATCCCATTACTGGGTATATACCCAAAGGATTATAAATCATCCTATTATAAAGACATATGCACATATATGTTCATTGAGGCACTGTTTACAATAGCAAAGACTTGGAACCAACCCAAATGCCTATCAATGAAAGACTGGATAAAGAAAATGCAGCACATATACACCATGGAATACTATGCAGCCATAAAAAAGGATGAGTTCATGTCCTTTGCAGGAACATGGATGAAGGTGGAAACCATCATTCTCAGCAAACTGAAAACCAAACAGAACAGAAAACCAAACTCCACATGTTCTCACTCATAAGTGGGAGTTGAACAAGAAGAACACATGGACACAGGGAGGGGAACATCACATACTGGGGCCTGTTGAGGGGTAGGGGGAGATAGGGGAGGGATAGCAGGGGGTGGGGGGATTGGGGAGGGATAACATTAGGAGAATTACCTAATATAGGTGATGAGGGGTTGGATGCAGCAAACCACCATGGCATGTGTATACCTATGTAATAATCCTGCATGACCTGCACATGTACCCCAGAACTTAACATATAATAATAATAAAAGAAACATTAATATATCACATTTATTTTAAAAATTCTTCTTAGTAGAAAATATGTTTACTAGCTAATACAGTTTTTTACACTGTTGAAGCAATGCCAGTGTTATGATAACCCACTCCTTTGGGAATAGTAGATGGTGTAACATCACAGCCAACTTTTTGTAAGGGAAGAAACATATGAGTAAGTGTGGTTGGCTGGGCTGATCATAGTCTTTAGAGAGTGCACATCATATGGATTCTACAGTCAAAGTTTTAAAGCATAACCCAGATGGAAACCAGGGAACCCTACCAAAGGCTGTAGATAAAGCTAAATAAAAAGAGACTATGTCAAACATTGTGAGCTGGTATTGTGGCCACAGGGTTATGAAAAGATCCTGCATGATATGAGCCATTATGGGAGCTAAAGTTTGTAGATATTAGGAGAATTCAGCCTCAACAATCAAACATGTAATGGGAACAGGGGAGAGAAAGAGGAAAAGCTAACAAAAAATCTATCACAGACCACTTAATAACTTACTATTTCTGAAGATTTGTTTGAGAAAACAATTCACTTGTGTATGGACAGTTAGATATACTTCCTCGCTTTAAAGTCCTAGGAAATTCAGGAACCACAATGCTACAGTATCTGCAAAACAAATCCAGAGTAAGTGATTTCCAGCAGACTCAGAAGTGTTATCAATACACAGAAATATATTAGTATGAAAGTTTACATTTTAGACCCAGTTAAATAACATCTAAATATATTATCTTTTTTTCTGTTTCTGTTTTTTTTTTCGTGGTTTTCATGCTTGATTAATGAAAGTTTCTTTAAGAAAATCCTGTGACTGAAGTTTATTAATATTTAATGATGTATTAACAGGAAAGAAATTGCTGTTTTCTCTTCTAAACTTGAGTAAGGGAAGAGTCAAAGCTTACAGCATCTGAAGGGAAAATCAGGACAGGTGTCAGCAGAAAAGAGAGTAGGGTAGAAAAAAGACAGGGGTCTCTATTGAGGTGACTGTTTTCCTCCTGCACCACAACACCCTTTGCGCATGCACACACACACACACACGCACACACACAAGCTGCACACCCAGGCCCATCCTGGCACTTCTGCCAAGTTCCTTTAAGGGGGATTACACAACTGTTTCCCCATTGCCTCTATTCTCATGAATTTTCAGATTTAGTCACTATTCCAACCTGGAAATTAATGCCCTTGGCTTTGAATCCTAGATTTTATTCATATTATGGCTTCATTTTGGGTAGTTACGTAACTTTTATTGAGACAAGTTTTCCCATCTATAAATGGGAGACAAATACAACACCATTTCATAGGGCAATGCAAGTAAAATCAGGCAGTCAGTTATTTATTTATTTATATTTTTTATTTTTTTATTTTTTTTATCTATTTTCTTTTTAAGATCAAGTCTTGCTCTGTCGCCCAGGCTGGAGTGCAGTGGTGGCAGGATCTCAGCTCACTGCAACCTCCGCCTCCTGGGTTCAAGCAATTCTCCTGCCTCAGCCTCTCAAATAGTTGGGATTACAGGCATCTGCCACCATGCCCAGCTACTTTTTGTATTTTAGTTGAGACATGTAGAGACACATGTTGGTCAGTCTGGTCTTGAACTCTTGATTTCAAGTGATCCTTCTGCCTTGGCCTCCCAAAGTGCTGGGATTACAGGTATGAGCTACTGTACCCAGCCTCGGTAATTTCTTAATGCAAAATTAATATATTGAGTCATTGTTACTGATACTATTAATGTTCTTTAATATTGTCAATATTATATTATTAATAATTCAATTATTTTTATTTAATCAATTTGTCCAGAAAGACCAACTTTTGATTTCTATTTTTGCTCTTTTTCCTCTGCTCTCTTACATCATTGGCTGCCTATAAGTACCTACCTATTTGAATATGAATCTCAAATAGCTCTTTATATGTTGTTTTTGAGAATCCTAGTATAATTATTAAAAATAATTCCACAAAGTCTTTTACTTCCTAACTAGTTGTGTAATTCAAAATGAAAATATAGAAACAAGTCTCTAAATTTAGTATTTTATTTGGGAAGAACAAATTACAATTTGGGACAAACTGGTGGTCATCGGTATGCCCAAAGAGCAAAGAGGTTAGAAGTTTTTAAAAAGGAAGAAATGTTACATATTACTCTTTGGAAAAAAGTTTATTGGCACTAGTAAGAGTTTGGGGAGCTGGCAAGCTCTGACTGGGGAACAACTGCGGTGGGCAAAATTAGCCCTAAAATTGCAGCAAGTTATTTCAGAAGCTGTAGATAATCTGGCTTCTGATTACAATAGCAGTTTCAGCAGTCAGGGTTGCAGAGAATTACATTCTTTTGGAATGTTTTGTACCCTCAGTGCTTTTTACTTCTGGTTTGTCAACTCCATGTTAGTTGGGTATGGCAAGAATGACCCAGTTCTTATGATCACCTTACATATGCAGAACTATACTTCAGTCAGTTACTGAATGCTTACATTTTGGTCATATGATACAGAGTTGTAATAATCTGCCAGACTTAGGAAAATCTTTGTTGTCAGGAAGGACTACTTTCTTCTTCTTCTTCTTTCTCTTCTTTTCTCCTTCTCCTTCTTCTTTTTTCTTACGTTTTCTTTTTTCTTCTTCTTCTTCTTTTCTTCTTCTTCTTTCTCCTCCTCTTCCTCCCCCAACCCTCCCCCTCCCCTCCTCCTTCTCCTTCTTCCTCTCCTTCTCCCTCTCCCTCTCTTTCCTTCTTCTCCCTCTCCCTCTCCCCTCCCTCCCTTCCTTCTTTCCTTCCTTCTCCTTTTCCTCCTCCTCATCTTCCTCTTCCTCCTACTCTTCCTCTCCCTCCTCCTCCTCCTTCTCCTCTTATTCTCCTTCTTATCTTCCTTTTAAATCTCTTCTCATTATTGTGTATCCAATCAGAAATCGAGACTTTCTGTTAAAGTAGAAAGGAGAGAGGAACAAACATTTGTTTGTATGTAAAAAGGATATGTCTGGTGCTTTTTATTCATGCATAAATTTCATGAATAATTATAATAATTATAAAGAATAGGATACAAACTTTACAATATGAGGAGAATATGACTCCACTTTTATAAATAAACTGAATATCAGAGAGTTTATGTAACTTACCCCAAATCATAAAACTAGGCAGTTTCAAGTTTAGAAGAGTTCAAGAGAACCATCCCCCTTTGGAAGAATATCTTTTGGGGGAAGACATTTTTATAACACATTATCCCCTATGTAATTACCAGCTG